ATTGACTAACGCACAGAGGGATATTTTCATCATTTTACCTTGTGGTCAGACGGCCTTTCTGAAAGGGAAGTGAAGCAGTTATCTATGCATTATTCAAAGCAACCAGACTTCCTTTGACAAAAACAGTATTTTAGACGTTTCTGATCTATTGCTGCCTCTATTGGTTAGTGTCTTTATGTTAGTATGTGTCTTGGTTGAATCCATACTAAGCCTCCCTTCAAAAACACTTAAAGGTGGGGTAGGTAATTCACTTCAGAAACACTTTTTGTTATATTCCATGGAATGCTCTTAACATCCCGATAGCAATGAATACATTAAATGCTTTGACAATAAATACATAAAAAATCTGTGGAAGCTGTGGTGCTGTAAAAATTACGATCAATCATCTGAGCCGACCCGGCTAAAATAACTGGATGGCCTACCTGCCTGTCAGCCTTCCATCTGTGCACAAACTTATCTCGTGCCCTCATTGGTCATGTGTGCGTTCGTGTGGAGGAGGGGCTCTGTAAGGAAGTCTGAAGGAAAGGGCAGATTTTTTTCGGTTGTGTACTTTCAAATTCTAGCGCACTCGAGCTGGTTTCTCCATTCTTACCTACCTTTAAGTCACACAATTACAGCAGCGGTACACCAGAAAACTTCCCTACAAACCCTATTCAAAACATCTCAACTATCTTTCACCATTGTAATATGAACTCCATCAATGTCAAACTCTGCATACAAGTATTTTTTAAGAAACACTAATAATCGTTTTTATCCCCCCCTCTCTAGAATGCAACACCCTGTGTCACCCTAAATGCTCCCCATGTCTCCCGGCCACCTGCGGTCTGCCAGCTGAGTATGCCACTCACTTCTCAGAGGCGCTGTGCCGGGAAAAGGCCAACTCTCCTGCACTGCAGGTCAAAGAGGCCAGTGGCCATGTTCGCTTGGAGGGATGGATGAAGCAGCCCAGGTACCTTTTATCCCTCAGTCCTTTACTACAGTACTGGCCATGAAACATATGTTTGTTTACAGTAGGGTGCTTGTGTTTGCTCACACAGAAATGGAAAGCGTGGTCAGCAGGGCTGGGAGAGGAAATACGTTGTGCTTGATGGAACTAAAATATCTATTTATGAAACTGAGCCCAGAGAAGGTCAGTACTTCACTTTAAATGGCTATTAAAGCTATCATTGCTATTATTCTGCCATTTCTTTATTAGACAGATTATAATGATCTTTATTTTCCCGTGTAGATCTATATAGCAGTATCCAATAAAAACAGCATGTGTTGTTTTTCTTCTAGACTATATCACAGTGGAGGAGGAGTTTGAGCTGTGTCTGCCTGACGGAGAGGTGACGGTTCATGGAGCTGTCGGAGCCTCCGAGCTCATCAACACTGCCAAGTCAGGTACTCCATCAATAAACCTCCTAATCCTGCTGCACTCAGCCTTTTGTATGGTTTACGTGTATCATCCTCTCCCAAAATGCTATCCACATGTCCAATCTATACTTTGAATCTCCAAATACAACAGAATGGTGACAGTTCTGCTCAGCTGTGAAAGGAAGCTGTTAGCCAACCAGTCTCTCTTTGTACGCAGACATACCGTATGTGTTGAAGCTGGAGTCCCATCCACACACCACCTGCTGGCCGGGCCAGTCCCTCTACTTCATGGCTCCCAGCTTCCCTGACAAGCAGCGCTGGGTGGCTGTCCTGGAGTCTGTGGTTGCCGGCAGCCGGGGGTCTAAAGACAAAGTGGATTCTGATGCTGTAAGTATTGTGTGTGTGTGTGTTGGTATTTCTTAAGCTTGTGTCAGGCCTGATATGGTTCATAATGTGCGAATCGGATGTTTAAGAAAGACAGCTCAGTGTCTCCTTTATACGAGATGAAACTCACTTCTTCTGCACATTTTGAATATTAACCTTATCAAAGGGTGGATGTATTGTGTAAATATATTGGGTAAAAATATATTGAATGCCTCCATTAAACATCAGCCAGTGCCTTCACTCCGTTTTCTCTCCCTCCCTCTTCTTTCTCTCTCTGCATGTTCTCAACATCCACGTCTTGTATTTGTGTTTTCATCGTCTCTGTTGATGTGATTATATTGTGCGTGTGGATCATATTATAGGCAGGTGCTTCTAAAAGGCAGAAGAACCTATCCCCTCTGGTTCAGGTACAGTAAGTAGCTGCACGAACGCTTGGGCTTCAGTCCATCGACCGGCTGAGCATGCAGTCGCTGCACACATCTACGCATTCAACACACACATACAAGTTACAACACACATGCTGTGCAGTGCAGGGCCACATGTGATGAAGAAGTAACTGCCCTGTGATCACAGCAATGATACCATACCCTCATAAACCTGCATATTGCATGGGTGAGAAGAGGCCCCGCTGTGCAGCTACGGCTCGGTGTGTCATATTCGATGTCATGCATGCTCTTGCAAAAAGCCATGCACTGCTTTAGCCCTCCTTACTGAAACACGACAGACACATGCACACATTCCTTCAGTCTGCAGGCTTCTGCTGTTGGTGGTTGTGTGTTATTGCTGAGTTTTTTGGGAGCACCTTCCCATTCCTTTGGTTAAGTTCATTAGTGTTACTTTTCTATGACCTGTAGTGCGTTATATAGGTTTCTGTGCTTGTTAATGCTCTGCAAAGGCAAATATCCCAAAGTTCCCTCCAGAGGGAGTTTCTCTCCCACACACATCCCCCCCCCCCTTGCCTGAAATGCCACCATTGGACTTCTCTTTTAACTTCCGTAACATAATGAAATTACTATGTAACACTTGCGTTTCNATTAAACACAGCACTTGGGGAGTCCTTCAGCTGCACCCTAAAAAGAGTTAGGTGATTGAATTATGACTGAAGATCGTCGGCTGTCTTCCTCTTCCGTTTTTTTCCAATACGTAAAGGCTGCAGCACCTTTGAGAACTTCTCTCCACATATCAAAGCATTGTTTGCTGTGAAAGCAGATAACTCTAACCACGCAGTATTAAACCCTCTGTGTTCCTCCGATACTTTTATTTTCTTTGATTTATCCATAGTTCGCTTCATCGAGCCAGGGGTCAGGTTATTCGCCTGCAAGAAAGGCGCTGGCACGGGGACCTAGCAGGATGTGACGCACATTTTAGTTGACCTAATTAAAACCGTTTTGTTTTTTATTTATGTGTCACAGTATCACCTCAAAATACAAGATACGAAACATTTTTCCACCGTGCAACAAAATATAAATAGTCCTACAAATATTTTTATTTTATTTCCTTCTTATTTTTGTCTAAACTCAAGGGAGCCAGAGCATAGGGCTTAACGCCTGCTGTAGCCAATCAAACCGCGTGCTTGTGTGTCCGGTGCGGGAGATTCATGTGATTGGTTGTTGGTCGAGCTTCAGACAAGCCCGCCGGCAAGCTTCAACACACGCTTCCGTGTGGACGCAGCGTTACTGTCCCTGTACTTACATACTTAATAGTCCTACTTACTTACCCAATGCTCAAATAAAAAATAAATGATGGCCTAGTTCATGTGGTTCATGTTCCCGCCCTTTTGCAACCCAATAATTAGTTTATTTCACACTGCATTCAGTTATCATAATTAGCTGTCCAGCTTCATTAAAAAGGCATTTTTTAAATGAATAAAACTAACTTTCGTGACTGTTAATGTTGCTGTGAAGTAGTTGTTTGTATGGCCGACGCAAAAAAACTTTGTATATACATATAATCCGCAGCAGTGATGAAAACTGTCAAAGGTTATCATCAGATGTTTGCTACATGTCTAGTGCTTTCTCTCAGGACTTTTTATATTCAGTCTGTTGGCTTTTCTTTTGGACGGAGCATGTCAGTAAACCAAGGTAAATACATGTCTTAATAGTGAAGGAAGCAGAAATATGTGTGTTTGAGTTGGTAAAGGTTTTCTGGCTGTCATCTTAGCTGGGTCTCATTTTCTTGCTTTATAGCAGCTGTTTTGTCAAAGCTCTGCCTAACCTGCGCCCTCCCTCTGCTCCTTGTCTCTCCCTCTCTCTCTCTCTCTCTCTCTCTCCCTCTGCTCCATGTCTCTCTCTCCCTCTGCTCCATGTCGCTCTTTCTCTCTCTCTCTCTGCTCCATGTCTCTCTCTCTCTCTCTCTCTCTCTCTCTCTCTCTCTCTCCCTGCTTCTTGTCGTATAGAAACTTCTGGGCAACTCTCTACTGAAGCTGGAGGGTGACGACCGTTTGGACATCAACTGCACCCTGCCTCTCACTGACCAGGTACAAGGACAGGAACCCCAACCATTGTCAGGAATCACTTACTTTTGATGTCTCCTCAAATGTGTGTCCTTGCACCTCTCTGCTGCATGTTTCACTTCTCAGGCTCTTATGATCCACATGGTCTTTTCCCTCAGATCGTGCTGGTTGGCTCTGAGGAGGGTCTGTACGCTCTGAACGTCATCAAGAACTCTCTGACCCACATCCCCGGGCTGACTTCCGTTTTCCAGATCCAGATCCTGAAGGAGCTCGACAAGCTGCTGATGATCACTGGTCAGTTCATTCAAGTCAAATCAAGGCCATTATACTCAATTATAAGTCCGTTTTTTAAAAGCTAAACATAAAAAAAATACCCATTTTAGCTTTACATAAAACATGCTGTGAGTCTTTGAAACTATCACTGGTTTCTTTTCAATATATTTTGACTTTTGTACTTTGGACCACACTAGTTTGGATCAAATGAATCAGAAGAAATCCAATGCAGCCACCACTATTTCTACAAATGGAATAATTCAAATGATATTACTTAAGCCTAATCTTCATCTGCCACTGTTCAGAATCTTTTGTTTTAGACGGAATAAATATACATGCAAGTTAATACAATTATTACATTTTAAAACATATTTTCAGTACAGCCCTATGTTGTATTTAATCCTAGTCTTTTAAAGACTTTTAGCATGTTATAATAATCAGTATTTAGATCATTGTGTCGGACTAAATGTGATGTTTGCCTCCAGGAGAGGACAGGGCTTTGTGTCTGGTGGAGATCAAGAAGGTGAAGCAGTCTCTGTCTCAGTCCCACCTCCCGGCTCAACCCGACCTCAGCCCTTATATCTTTGAGACGGTGAAGGGCTGCCACCTCTTCTCCTCTGGAAAGGTGGGTATCTCGACGTTACACGGAGAGAAATCCTCCTAAGTCAGACTTGTTTAGTCAGAGTTAATGAGCTGAACATCAATAGCAGAGCTGTCTGATTGAAGACATTTTACTGCCGAGCTGAATTGCGGTGTTGCTCTTTCTTTACAGATTGATAATGGGACCTGTATCTGTGCTGCTATGCCCAATAAGATTACAATTCTGCGACTTAATGAAAGCCTGAATAAGTTCTGCATCAGGAAGGTGAGTGTGCCTTTTAAGATTAAGGAAAGGCAGTGTTGTGTAACAAAGTAGATGTTTCCTTGAGGGAGTAATGAGATTGAAACGGTGGTGTTTGTATTTGCAGGAGATTGAGACATCAGAGCCCTGCAGCTGTATCCACTCCACCGGCTACAGCATCATTATCGGCACCAACAAGTTCTACGAGATTGAGATGAAGCAGTATGTGCTGGAAGGTCGGTCACACAGCCAGAGTTAACACAAACCTTCATCCTGTATGGATGTTATTTTTAAAATAATAGGTAGATAAAGTTTGTGAGACTTCACAAACTGAGTTGATGATTTCTTTCTACAGAGTTCCTGGATAAAAACGACGTGACGTTGGCGTCAGCCGTCTTCGCCGCGTCCTCGCACAGCTTCCCCATCTCCATCATCCAGGTCACCACGGCTCCACAGAAGGACGAGTACCTGCTCTGTTTCCACGGTAAGACGGTTTCTTTTCATTGTGTCGGCACACCTGTTCGGTACTTTTGATTTCAAATGTTTTTGTTGTTGTTTTTGTTTGTTTTGCTTGTCCTTGTTTGTTCTACCTTCCCTCAAACTGTAAAGCGTCTTTGAGTTCCAGAAAAAGCGCAATATAAATATAATTTATTATTATTACCTTTTTGAAATAAGTCGGGCACCGTATCGATATCATGGAGATGAAATATCGTGTTAGATTTGGGGTATCGTAGTATGGCTAATCTGATTTGTGTAAAGCACCAATAGTCAAGCCTACAATTTCACACTTTGCTGTAACTTCAATAATTGAATTTAATACCTGTCTTATTCTATATTAGATTTATCTAGTTTTAGTTTTCTTTGATTCTCTTGGCTTTTGTCTTTGACTCTTTTTAAATGTCATTTTATAATTGCGGGTTCCTGCTGCTCGATATATTAATGCTCTTAATGTTTTTCATTTTTGGTAAAGCACTGCCTTTGTGTCACAAAATCTTCACAGGTTTTATGTCAAAAATATTGTGAGATTTGATTTTGTCCATAATGCTGTCCAGCCTTATTATATGCAGTTCGACACAAGGAAAATGTGTTTCTCCTACAAGGAGACTATTTTCCTTAAAAAAGTGATTATAATACCTTTAACTGCCACCTGCATGTTGTGTGATACCTGGATTTGTTCCTGCAGAGTTCGGTGTGTTTGTGGATGCGTACGGTCGCAGGAGTAGAAGTGAAGACATCAAATGGAGCCGACTGCCTCTCTCATTTGGTTAGTGTAAATCAGAGTTTCCTAAAATGTCGCTTAGAAATGTATTATTCTCTGTAAAATTCCATTTATGATTTGCAATTAGATTTGAAGTGTTTTGTATTTCAGCCTACAGGGAACCCTATCTGTTTGTGACGTACTTCAACTCTCTGGATGTTATTGAGATTCAAGGCCACGCTGCTCTGGGGTGAGATTGTCTTCTCCTCCTCTGTCAGTGTCACTGCATCAGCATCATTTAACAGTCCATTTCACAATACTGCTATAGCTCAGTAAATATGTGGACAAGACCCATTTATTTCAGTCACTGCTCTATTTTCTTAACCCTTAGATACATAAGTGGGTCTTTTTTGACCCAGTGAGGTGGTTTTCTTGAAGTATCTTTGTAATTACATTTTTTTATCATTTCATATTCCAGCTATTCCTCAAAAAACATGTTTTGGATTTCAAGCCATTCAAATTTTAAGTTTTAATTTTAAGAAATTGTAGTTTTTGTATTTCTACCCCAAGCTTCCATAAGTGGGTCAAAAATGACCCGCATGCATTTCCTATGGCATCCTATGGGAACCTTTGATTCTAATCACCTGTGGCTGTCNTTAGACTACTTTCAAAAATAATATGAACTACTTTTACTGTGTACTTTTTTATCCCACATCAAAGTTAGACGAAAATGCTCAATCTTTTTTCTCTGGAGGGGACTTTGAAACTCAAATTACTCAAAAAGTACACAGTAAAAGTAGTTCATATTATTTGTGCAAGTAGTCTAAGAAGTGTTAAGTACAAACATGGCAGACTCATAAACTACTTATGGAAGAAATGTTTCTTATCCCACGTCAAAGTTAGACGAAAATGCTCCTTCTTGTTTTCTGGAGGGAATTTTACCATTCTCAAAAAGTACACAGTAAAAGTAGTTCATAGTATTTGTGCAACAAGTTTATGAAGCAATAAGTCCTAACATTATTCTCATAAATGACCCTGTTCCTCAATCGCAAATAATAGAAATGAACCACATGCCATCTTTTACTTTGAAATCCAGCTTCCCAGAGTTGATTTATTGCATTACCGTAAACTTGTAACTAATCGCGCACTCGAAATACAGGGGCGGCTGGTTTGACCACGCAAAAGTGAAAGACGGCTGGCTTGACCGCAGTTCCATTTTGACTGCGTCACATGTTATGTAACTCGGATGAATCAGGAAACAGGAAATAATCAAAGTTTACAACACTTGCAGAAGTGTCATTGGACTCTAGGACGCAGATTTTTAACCAAGAAGTTATTTTCTGACATCCAGTTTGACAGAGTAAATAATAAATATGTTAAAAAGCAGATCCTGGTGTTAACACTCACCCTGTTGTTCTCCTCCTGACTGGCTGTAAAATGGCGTCTGGCAGTCTGACAAGTCTGACTTCATACTTTCACTTTCAACTTCCCTCCCTGTCTGCAGCTCCTCCTCTGATTCATAACTAGCCTTATGAGCTGAACCAGTTCACACACAGTGACTTTGTTCAGTGAGATAAGAAAAAGACAAGCAGCTAAAAACAAGCTCAACAAAGTTATCAAAAGGACACAACGTCCACACATCAGTGTCCATAGGATATCATTAAATCTGCTTTATATAACAAACAATGAACTGCGACTTAAATAATAACACAAGGCTACACTTAACTAATTTACAACATGTAACAAAATCAGGGCTGAAATAGAGATTTCACCTCTAGCAAGTGTTTTAAATAGTGGTAGAGAAAAAGGAGAGAATCAGGCTGCAGCTCCTCACTGAAAAGTGTTTTAAAGAGGAGGAAAGTGTGCAGGGATGCTCAAATTCGTGTTCAAGCAGCCCCTAAATAATGGTAATACTGATTAAAAATCATTTCTAGGGCAGAAAGTATTTTAAAAGTGAGAAAAACTATTTTAAATGGCTTAAAAAGCACAAAGTGATTTAAGTGCAGTTCCAAGTTTCCCCACAGGAGGCCTCCAGAGAGCGCATCACCCGACATGAGCACAGTGCATTAACAGTAGAAAATACGAGAAAAAAAGGCAAATCAATTGATTTAAAGTGCGGGATACTCCACACCAGACACCGGTACATTCCTACATCCCCACAATAGTGACACTCTCCATCCCTCCTGTGAAGTAACGGCAAAAGGATATAGGACATTGGAAGAATAAAATTGCCATATCAATTACATGAAATGGTAATAACTGGTGCAATAGGATTTGTCTTGTCATATTTCAGCAGCAGTCCTCCCACTACAATAAAACATTTGTATAAAATTCAATGGGTATTTATTTTTAGTCTATAATTTGACTTGACTAAACTAACTTAGCATCATAGACTAACTTAGCATCATAGACTAATCCTAACTATATTAAATAGTTTTGAGTACCATTACTGGTGTTTTATCATGTATAAATAGCCTGTGTGTCTCCACAAATTTCGTTTACGGCCATACTATCGATGAGAAAGATTTGAAATATGATCATTTGAAGTTCAAACAACTTTTAATAAAGTACAACCAAAATCAATACACTGAGCAAAACCGCCATAGAAACTGATTAAAAGTCCTTAGCTTAGTTCCTCCTTTCAGAACAGACCATCGTTTGGGCGGATCTTACTTAACCCTTAGATGCACGAGTGACCCTACACTCTTCCATAAGTGGGTCAAAAAGGACCGTAAGGAGAAGGCTAGTGAATAGGTAAGGAGAAATGACCAGTTCGTGGTTGCGCTCCTCAGTGAACCTTAGCGTAGGGGTGCCTTGTTTAAGATAAGGTGTGGGTGTGTATTTTAGTGGTTGTTTTGTATGTCAAAGGGGTTTTGTGAAAGAAGAGCGTGAGTTTCCTTTAGGGACAGAAGAGGCGAAAGTAAGTAATCCCACGTCATAAAATAACAATCCGACAACATACAAGCGCGGGGTAATGAGTTGTGCTTATGTTAGTAAGAGGGAGTGGTAGTAGAAAGGTGAAAACCGAAGTGGTAAGAGGTTGGGACAAATAATCATATGTGGTGGGAGATCGTAAAGATGGGGGCAATGAGTGTAGAAAGTAGTTGTTTCGGTTTAGAAAAGTGTAAGTAGGGTTGTGTGGAAAATAAGGTTCACGCAAAGAACCCTTCGTTTGTTTCAACACGTGTTTGTCGTATTACCAGAAGGGAAAAGTAGGAAGACAAAATTCGGACAGGCAATTTTACTAACTTTCACAGTCGGTAAATTCCTCCTTTTTTCCGTGTCCCAGAAAGGAAGAGTCGTTGAGGGAGAACCAGAGACCTCCATGGGTCGTCTTGAAGGAAGAGACGGAGACCAAAGTTAAGGCTCTGCCCGCGAGGAGGACGAAATGAGGGCACCGAAGACGGAGGGGGTAGAGAAGCACGGAGCAAACGCAATCCGCAACGGGAGGACGGAGAGGGGAAGAGACGAGGCACAATGGAGTCTGTCGCCGAGTAAGAGAGCGCTCGGCAGAAGAGAGGGAAGGAGTGACGTTCGGCCACGCGCGAGCGAGGGTACGCGAAACTTTAGGAGAGGTAAGGGGTGGAAACCTTTCGAAGGGTGCGATTAAAAGAGAAGCCAGAGGGTTCCGGAAAAGGAGAAAACAGCGAAGAAACAAGCACAAACATTAGCTGACAGGGAGTACACGCAGGGTACAACAAGGGAAGAACAGCGATGGCTAAGAACTGGAGGCCTCCTCGGGCACGCCTTAAGGACTGACGTGCATGAAAGTGTCCTTCGTAAGCGTAAGACGGATTAGGTGCTTTTCACCCTCCCGGGGTCTGTTCGTTTCCACAATCCCCCTCCCCTAATGGTTTGTCTCATAATAGGCTCTTTTAAACGCGAATAAAGTTCGATAAAAAGAGGTTCCTACTAGTGATCGTAATCGTTTTTGGTGTAAAATGCAAGTGTTGCACAACGTGAGCCCGCACAAAAAAAAATTAGACAAAATAATATTCTACTGATTTTAATAACTGTGAAATAGTGTTAAAAGAAAAATTCTTTTGTTTTTCAGGGGGAAAAGGTCCCTAGGTAGTCAAGCAAGGTTTCCGTTTTTTGTATTTGTCATGAGAGGCAGAAGCAGTTTTTTGCTTGTAGGAAGGTGTATACAGAGGATGTTTAGCGAAAGGGTACACCATACATGTCTCAATTACAGGAGAGAAACAGGGTGGTAGTCCAGGGTCTGGGGACTGACAAAGAGAGAGAGTTTTACTCCGGTGTAAGGAGAATCCGAAAGTTGTCGTATAGACCCGACCAATCTTTGTTCCAAATTCGTGCCCAATGTAACACTCGGTGTGTAAAGGGGGGAGGTAGGTTGTATTGTGTCAAGGAAGTCCAAGGGAGCAGAATAAAAGGAAAAGGTAGGTCGTGGACGATGTCTGTACAGAAGTAAGAAAGTTTCTTTTTTGACGGAGTTTAAGTTATGTAAAAGTGCTTGTGGGAGCACGTAATTGTCAAAAAGAATGGCGGGTTGAATGTTTTATTGTTAGTGTAAGGGAATAAATTAGCAGCGATAGCTTTTGTACGAGTGTTATCTTATACCTTGACCATAACACACAATTATTTTGTTCCAGTTTACAGGTTGGTGAAGCCCCGACTAAGGGGAAAGGGGAAATCAAACAGGTGTAAAACCAATTGTAGGGTAGAGTTTATGAGTCTGAAAAGAGGGTGTTGAAAAGAGTCCGTTCGTACAAGAGGAATGTGTCAGAAAGGAGTAGTAGAGTATCTATGGAAAAGCAAAAATAAAAAGGGGTCCCACTAAGGAAACAAGGGGCACGGATGTATATCAAGTTTTGAGACAGAGTAGCGAACGGGCGAACAATGGGGAAGTAGGAAGGAAAGGTGAGTAGGCCCGTAGGGGAGGAAATACATAGTGTAGTGCAAGAGTTCACAGGAGTCGAATTTGGAAGTGGTTTCAGGAAGGGGCTGAGTTTAGGGTGCTACTGGACGCTGGAAGCTACTTAGGATACTGTATGAGTAATCGTTCAGGAGAGTTGATAAGACAATTTTCCGTGGCGGGAGGTTGTACAACCGTTCAACTTTCTACCTTTGAAAAGAGTAAATATAGGAACCTAACTCCTCTATCCGGACGACGGTGTGAATCGACATTGTAAAGTGGTTGTTGAGCATGGGTGTAAATGGTTTTAGTTTGGGGTACGTTTGAGTAATGGGGGAAACTTCTTTTTGAAGTGAGTAAGGTCAGTAAGAAGGGAAAGGGGTAAGAAGTATTTTAGTTAAATAGTTTGAATAATTTCGATAGGGATTTCCTTCTGAAGGTATTTTTGTACTAGTAAAAAAACAACTTCCGATAGAGGGTGGAGCAGGAAATGCATAATCGAAAAGGAGCAAAGGATAAGAATTTTAAGGGTTTGAAGTTAAGGGGGTAGAATATGAGTAAGAGGTTCTAGAGGGAACGATAAGAAAGAGTGAAAGGAGAAGGGAAGGTATTCTTAAGAAATAATAAAAACTCAATTAGAGGAAGGTCATGGGGAGTGTCATGTAACTTCTTTTTGAAGTAAGTGTATAATAGATATTGAACCCGAAGTAATATTGTAATAATATAATGAAAGGGGAGGAACATCGAAGGAGAAGAGGTTTTTTCAGTCGCAAAGGACTTATGAGAAGAAATAAATTAAAGGAGTGATTGCACTTAAGTCCACCACTACCGGCATTTTGTCTTTACATCAGCTGTGTTAACGATAAATATCACGAGTTTGGCGGCGACTAATTTTTGGGAGGTGGAAGAGTGATGACGAGTTTAATGCTTAATAGGAGAACAATTGAGAACATTTTAGGGTGGGCACAAACCCTACAGTGGCAAAAAAATAGTTTTGTTACGTAAGTATAAATCCCTACGGTCTTGACCTTGCGAACTAAGTTTTAGCTTTTTTGTTTTCGGACCGCTTGTATAATTAACTAATAGCGGGGGCGCCCTCTCTTTTTTTTTTTTGATGCCTTTTGTTTAGCCTTTAAAACAAAAGAAAATGAACTGTACGCATGTTTATGTTCCCCGGAGAAGTCATCTTTCATGTTTTCCCGTTATCGTTTTTTGGTGGTAGTACATTCGGACATAATTTTAATTATCGTCGTAACGTTAATGAAAAGTGCTGCACCGGAACTTCACTCAAAAATCATTACGGCCCGAAAACGGCAGAAAGAGACATCCGTTAAGAAACGTACGGAGCGTGAGGGTTACGCTTGCGAACACTACACTCGACACCCATGTTGGTTTCAGAAAAGGTCTCGACGTAAACTTGAAGTAAACTGAACTAAGTCAAGCTTATCAAGGTGCTCCTTGAGAAGAAACCTTTTTGTACGGCGAAACAAGGAGAAATCAACACAACAAGAAGGTACAGACGGTATAGCCGGTTATTAGGTTAGCGTGCACACTGGCTCTCCGCCCGCCCCCAGCCACAATCCGTCCGACGTCGTCCACCGTCGTCCGACGACCCGGTCGCCGACGTCGTCCGACGGGTCGTCGTCGTTCGCGTCCCTGACCGTTTCCCGTCCGACGTCGTCGTCCGACGTTCGTCGTCCCAACGTTTCGTCGTTCAGACGTTTCGTCGTCCGACGTCCGTCGTCAAACGTGAGCACACGTCGGACCAACGACGCCCGAAAGAGTTCAAATGGTCATTTTTATTTTTTGACACCACCTGGTTACGGTAAATTTGTAATAATTTGAATGTAAAACCGTAACAGATATAAAAACAACTTGATTCCGGTCCGTTTTTTTTTTCTTTTTGTATAATTATATTTTCTATATATTTTTTATTTTAGCTTAAACGCTTTATTTAAAACGCTAATACCTCAACAATTGCTTTTAAGTTTTTTAAATTAATTTAGCGACGGTAAGATTAAGTATAGTTATGTCGCAAGAGTCAGCAACACTTACGTAACAAACGAGAAGTAAAAGTCAAAAAAAACGTTACGACCTTTAGCCGACGGAAATTTGGGGATCCTACGTATCACCAAGAAAAACTGGGCCATCCCAAAAAAGTACTTCATAGAAACATTAGCAGTTACGAAAATAGAAGTCATCTGACCCCTATGACGTTAATACCACAGAAGTTGTTCTCCAGAGTGATTTTTTTGATAATCTTTGACGTCGACTAAGTCTCGCAGCACCGAGCTCAGGAGTGACTGTGATCCTTTTCACGCAGTGATAGTGAGGAACAAAACTTAGAACGGTTTGATCCCGAAGGAACACACAGTTTTCTATCTAAAGTTTTATGACGAACCGACAAACAAAAATATTTCGAAATTAAACCAATCCCGGTTTTTTATGAAAAGACTTGGAGACATTTGTACTAACTTGGTAGGTCTAGAAGAGTCCCAGAAGTCCCTGCCAGTTCGGAAAGACGAGGGGTCTCAGTTTCTTGATTTTGTAACCTCTTTCGCGTCCAAAAAAGTCAATAATAACGTAGGTTTATAGACCTTGTTTCTTTTTTTGAGGGTCTCTTGGACGTCAGGCGAAACCGTTGGAGACTGATGAAAATTTAGGTCCGATTTCTGAAAAGAAGAACGGCGCGACAAAAATTAACTTGAAACGTATAGAATTTGACGTGACATTGAAAAAACTAAGTGAATGAAAATAAGTACATAAAAAATAAGTACATAAAAAAGAAAAATTACAAAGAATTAGAAAAATTAATGACAAAAATTTACGGAAACAAAGAATCCCTTTACAGAAAGTAACAAACGTTCGGTGGCAACCTTAACAGAACACAACTTTCCCGGATTAGTTTATTTGAACCGGGAACGGATTAAAGTAAAATAAATAGTAAAGTATAAGGTCGATAAGGAGTTTTTTAGTACAAACACCAGTACGTTAAAACATTTACATGTAAAATCCTAACACCAAAACATAAAGATGGGGCTCGAAGGTATTCACCGCGAGTTTTTACTGGGGGGGGGACTACGTAAAAATCACGCTTAAGGGATGACCCCTTTGAAAAAAAAAAGTTTTACATTTTTCTTTACTGAGATTCGTCTACCCATATTTAATCGACTTTGTACAATTATATTTTTATAAAGAAATACAACACTGGTTTTATATTATGATTTATAGTATGTCGACTAAAAAGAATCGGTTTTACTGAGTTTACCGAGCTATTTTTGGTATAATAA